TATTAGTTCTTCCAGCAGCCACATCACACTGTTAACTAAGATTAAATTTACTGTCAACCCAAATTACTAAAGATCTTTTGCACTTCTTGCTTTGTCCTCCTTTCCCATCTTGAGCTTGATTTTTTTTTTTGAAAAGGGGGGCAGAGGGATGCGGATTAAGTGTAGAATTATAATTTATTATTATTTCATCTATTTGAAATATAATAGTTTACTATCCACTAATACAGGGACGAGCGTTCAATATCATTTTGATTTTAAAACCATTTTAAGAAATACAAAACTTTTATATAAAAAAGAACCTCCTTTATTTTTTATATAAAAAGCGCTTCCCCTTTCTGAATGATTTAATCCTAAAGCTATTAGAAAGAACCAAGCAAGATAGGCACGTGCACAAAAATGGGATATTGGAGGCTGTTCAAAGTAAGGAGTGCATTCACATGGTGGAGGGGAGCAAGTGTAGTACAGAGTGTTGGAGCCCATATGGAAGTGAGCAGAACTTCTGAAGAGGAGAGCAGCCAGGTATGGGGTGTTAGAGCCTGAGTGGGGTGATGAAGACATCCACACCACAAGGTGGCCCAATGCAGCATATAAGAGCCTTTGTGGAGTGAGAAGTCATCTACGTTGTAAGGTAGCCTATTACAGAGTGTCAAGCCCAAAGGGGGATAAAAGAGGGCATTCATACCATGCAGTGAGGTTCTGGAGCCAAGAAGGGTTAGAAAAGTGGCCTGGCATGCAATCAAAGCCCAAGTGAGCTGAAGAGAACATCCCACACAAGGGAGTGACTGATGTAAGATGCCAGGGCCCAGACCAGGTTATCTGCAAATAGGGAAGTACAGAGAGAGTGAAAAGACAACAGCACAGGACAGATTGAGAGCCTAGGTGGGGTGAAGGGGTATCTGTCAGGGAGGGGACAATGAGAGAAATGGAAGACCGGTTACATGCAGGGGGATTAATGAGATAAGTAAGGAAGGATAAGAGAACCAACCAAGTTCTCATTCATGAAGAAGGGGTTTATCGGTAGAAAGAGAAAAAACTAGAATAAACCCTGTTCACTCTGTATTAGAACTGGAAGTGTCGGTATGAATTTATGATTTGTATATGTGTGAAGACAGAGAAATAAATACAGATGTAAATATGTTTATGTATGTATGTGTATGTTATGTACATATATCCCCTTATTGAGAAGGCTCAGATATAGAAGCATTCCATAGCAATGAGCACACCCAATACAAGAACTGGTGTATTGGGTGTGCTCAATATATCAATCTGGTTTCTTTCTTTTTTTTTTTTTTAGATCTATTTATTTGAGAGAGCATGCACAAGGCGGGGAGGGGCAGAGGGAGAGAGAGAAACTCGAGCAGAGTCCCCGCTGAGCACGGAGCCTGATGTGGGGCTCGATCTCACAACCCTGAGACCACAACCTGAGCCGAAATCAAGAGTCAGATGCTTAACCAACCAAGTCATCCAGGCACCTCACAAGATCTGGTTTTTAACTACTATTCTCCACTACAATATACCCGATCTTAGAGAAATGGGGCACAGAATATTGCGCCAGAACAAAAGAAATTGCTCAAATAATCACAGAGACTGTCCAAAGGTAATAGTGTCAACTGGAGGGGACTCCCACTGGCCAAATCTGAGGCAATTTGAGCACTGACACAAATGATGGTAATAACAGATTTAAAGCAGGTGAGTAAAACAGTAAATTCTGAGTCCATGCTGATATTAATAATTTTGAATAAAATGAAAGAGACTTTTCAGTGGAGAAGTTTGGGAGATACTACCTTAATCATATAATAGAAGTAAACATCATCAGTAATGGGACAAAATACAAATCATGTATCCCAAATAGTAAGATACAATGACAAGCACAGAACATCACTTCTGTGCTAGTTTTCCTGAAGATGTATAATCTGAAGTTACTCGTGAAGATCAAAGAAATGGAAATTAAGGGACATTCTTTAAAATAACTGGCCTATAATCTTCAAAAGTGCCAAGTCAAATAAAAAATGAAGAAATGGGGCGCCTGGGTGGCTCAGTTGGTTAAGCGACTGCCTTCGGCTCAGGTCATGATCCTGGAGTCACAGGATCGAGTCCTGCATCGGGCTCCCTGCTCGGCAGGGAGTCTGCTTCTCCCGCTGACCCTCCCCCTTCTCATGCTCTCTCTCTCTCTCTCATTCTCTCTCTCAAATAAATAAATAAAATCTTAAAAAAATAAAAAATAAAAAAAAAAGTGAAGAAATGTTCCAGATTAAAGGAGAGTAAAGAGAAGGGACAACCAAATTCAACCTGTGATTCAACTTTACGGGCACAATTGGTAGAACAGGAATGGGGCTGTATAATTAAATGTATCGGTGTTAATTTCCTAAGGATGTATTGTGGCTATGTAGGAGAATGTCTTTCTTTATAGGAACGACATACAAAAAGGATTCTGGAGAGCTGAGACATATATTGGCAACTTACTCTGAAACAATTCAGGGGAAAAAAATTGTTCTGTACTTGGAACTTTTCTTTAAGTATGAGATTGTTTGCTGGAGTGGTGGGGCGTGGGAGGGATGGGGTGGCTGGGTGATAGACATTGGGGAGGGTATGTGCTATGGAGAGTGCTGTGAATTGTGTAAGACTGTTGAATCACAGACCTGTACCTCTGAAACAAATAATACATTATATGTTAAAAAAAAAAAAAAAGAAGATAGCAGGAAGGGAAAAATGAAGGGGGGGGAATCAGAGGGGGAGACGAACCATGAGAGACTATGGACTCTGAGAAACAAACTGAGGGTTCTAGAGGGGAGGGGGGTGGGGGGATGGGTTAGCCCGGTGATGGGTATTAAAGAGGGCACATACTGAATGGAGCACTGGGTGTTATATGCAAACAATGAATCATGGAACACTACATCAAAAACTAATGATGTAATGTATGGTGATTAACATAACATAATAAAATAAAATTAAAACAAAACAAAACAAAACAATGTCCCTGCTCCAAATAAGTCAAGGTCAAAATAAACGAAGAGCTCAAGATGACATCCGTCCCATTTGTCTAAGTCCTGGTGTTGTGTGGATGAAAAGCAACAGTCAGGTATGACAACAGGTGACACACCCAAAGTAAAAGCCAAATTTGTTAACATTTTTCCATTTCTAAACCATCCCTAAAGAAAATCACATGTGGGTTCACACGATCTTCATGGTAGTCCAGCAGAGCAACCATGCCATTTGGATTCATGTTTTCACTAATAAAGAACTGGTAGTTCTTGAAATTTGCAAAAAAATAAAATAAAATAAATAAAATAAAATAAGGATAAAAATAGCTGTAAAGATTAAATGAAATGAATGGGTAATGCATTTTAGCAAAGTATCTGATATTTTAAGTCTTTAAAAAATATTAGGTGCTGTTTTTATTTCTGGTATATACATATTTAGTACACAAGGACAAGAGTTGGCATACTACAACCCACTGGGTGAACTCTGCCCATCACCTACTTTTTTAAGATGAAGTTTATTTATTTTTTTAAAGATTTTATTTATTTATTTGACAGAGAGAGAGACAGCAAGAGAGGGAACACAAGCAGGGGGAGTGGGAGAGGGAAAAGCCTTCCTGCTGAGCAGGGAGCCCGATGCGGGGCTTGATCCCAGGAGCCTGGGATCATGACCTGAGCCGAAGGCAGACGCTTAATGACTGAGCCACCCAGGCACCCCTTTAAGATAAAGTTTAATTAGAATAGCTAAATTTAGCCAGTGTGCATTGCCTATGGCTGCTTTCATGCAATAATGGCCTGAGTAGTCGCAAAAGAGACCCGATAGCCCAGAAGGCGTAAAATGCTTGTTATCTGTTTTTTTCATAAGAAATTTGCTGATCTGGGGCACCTGGGTGGCTCAGTCAGTTAAGCATCTGCCTTCAGTTCAGGTCATGATCCCAGGGTCCTGAGAGCTCCCTGCTCAGCAGGGAGTCTACTTCTCCCTCTCCCTCTGTGTGCTCGCTCGCACACTCTCTCTTTCAAATGAATAAATCAATCTTAAAAAAAAAAAAAAGAAAAAAGAAATTTGTTGATCTGTACCCTCAGTGAGAAAAACAAACTAAAACGGCACTTAGCATGCGACTCTTGATCTTGGGGTGGTGGTTCAAGCCCCACATTGGGTGTAGAGATTACTTAAAGATATAATCTTTTTTAAAAAGAAAAGAAAAAGAAAAACAAACTAAAAATACAATGCTATAAAATGTTAAAATAGGGGTGCCTGGGTGGCTCAGTCATTAAGCATCTGCCTTCGCCTCAGGTCATGATCCCAGGGTCCTGGGATTGAGCCCCGCATCAGGCTCCCTGCTCGGCGGAGAGCCTGCTTCTCCCTCTCCCACTCCTCCTGCTTGTGTTCCCTCTCTTGCTGTCTCTCTCTCTCTCTGTCAAAATAAATAAATAAAATATTTTTAAAAAAAAAGTTAAAATAGATGTAAATGGGGCAAGATAATCAAGTTAGCTGGTTTCCATCTATCTCAATAAATTCAAAGCAATTGAAAACCATATGGTAATTTTCCTTTCCCTGAGAAAGTAAGCATTTCAAACCTGAAAATGTCCTTAGAGGTTCTAGGTTAAAATATTTTTTTTCCAAATGGAAATACAAATTTGAGAATTACATGAATAGACTATACCTAAAGAATTTACTATTATCACTCCAGATGTAGTTAATGCAATGCATTAAGGAAGGCATTCACTGCTTTGGGTCATAAGCAAAGCATATTTTTCCAAAATAAATCACATGAAAAGTATATTTAAGAAATCTCTCTGTAAAAGGAACTATGTAAAGTACTATAAAGAATTCACAAAAGACAAGACTGAGTAAACTTAAAACACAATCTAAAGGAGTAGAAAAATAATCTCAAGGCTTATAAAAACCAGAGTTAAGTGCATTTCGCTATAATTTCTATATTTCTTTCAACTTTATGTAAATAAAATAGATCACTTTGTCCACTTAACCTACACAAATCAAAAAATCCAAAAATGTATTACCTGAATTGGATGTTTACTAAATGAGGCTGGGAGCCATCTGATTGCCAATAAGTCTCAAGATTGTCATCTCGTAATTGATCCACTCCAAATCCTAAAACACAAGTAACAGTAAGTTCTCAAGAACAAGAAAGAGCTATATATTCCAAATATAAAATTACCATTCACATTTGTCTAGAAAATGTGATAGATAGGATGGTCAATACTGTAAAATTTAAATTAACTAGAATTCTTCCATCCTCTTCACCAGACCTCAACTCTTAGAATATGCACACAAAAGTTTATATTAGGGCAAGTGTTCTTGGTTGTTGGCTTTAATTTTTAAAGAATGTCTTCTAAATATACTCTAAAGACAGCACGTATTCAAACCCAGTTTTTTACACTTTCTACAAGGTGGTAGTAAGAATGATCCTCATGTCCTGCAAAATCAGATTTTATTAAGTCCAATATGCCATATATCTTTCTATGGCAACAAAAAGGACAACTTAGAAATATTTTCAAAAGTCATACACATTTTGAAACCAAGTGTTTCTGATTAATCAAAAATTAAATTTGCCCAGAATCTCATATCATCTAGCCATTCTACATAACCGAAGTAAAAATATCCCGTATTGTTTTTTCTTGATTAAAATCATTATAATGCATACTAATTATGGAAATAACTTAATGGTAAAGTATGGATTTCTCAAAAATATTTAAGAGAAATAAATTTAATTTACATTTTAATTTTTTCACTAAGTACTATATTCATCATGGATCAAATTCCGAAGGTAGAAAAAAGAACATTGTGAAAAGTCTCTATTCCCCCTCCCACTATCTAGTTTCCCTCTCCAAATATAATCAGTGTTATCAGTTTTTTACATACTGTTTCACAAATACTGTACACATATATAAGCAAATGCATATATATTCTTTTTTCCCCTCTACATAAATAATGGCATACCTCACAAAGTTCTACACTTTGCATTTCTTTTTCACTTAACATATCTAGAAGATTCTTCAATATCAATAATAATTAATAATAATAGCAAACACTGACATCACATTTACTTTGTGCAGACACATTCTAAGTGTCTTACATGATTATATTATGTTAAATTTATTTAACCCATATAAAAACTCAGTTAACCTAAACAGCTCCCACATTTTTTAAAAGTTATACAGTATCTCGCTGTCTGGAAATATCATAATTATTTAACGAAAACCCTAGAGGACATTTAGGCTGTTTCCAGTGTTTTCTTGTTAAAACAACACTGCAGTAAACATCTACCTATCTATAATCTTTAAGTGCGTATTAGTATTTCTGGAGGATGGATTTCTAGGAATAGAACCCTGGGTCATTTAAATTTTTAATTTGATAAATATCGCCAAATTTTCCTCCAAAATGCATCTTCACCGATAATGTACAAAAACACCTATTCCTCTACGTAACCAGTAAAAATTAGGGTATTCTGAAATCTTTACATTAGGTTTTGAAGACATAGTATAAAGATATTAAGTATCTATTTAATAAGTTTTTTTTTTAAGATTTTATTTATTTATTTGACAGAGAGAAAGACAGTGAGAGAGGGAACACAAGCAGGGGGAGTGGAAGAGGGAGAAGCAGGCTTCCCGCTGAGCAGGGAACCGGATGCGGGGCTCAATCCCAGGACCCTGGGATCATGACCTGAGCCGAAGGCAGATGCTTAACGACTGAGCCACCCAGGCACCCCTATTGAATAAGTTTTTATATTGCTTAGATATTGAAATCATTTTGGACATACTGAGACAAAATAATGGAAGTTAATTGTAACTTTTTAAATTTTAATATGGGTACTAGATAATTTTAAATTACATATGTGGTTTGCATTAATTTCTGTTGGACAGCTCTGCTGTGTACTCATGTTAAAATGCAATCATTCTTTCACGTATTTACTAACCTGATAGGTGAAAAATTTTATTTCAAACTTTCATTGATCATTTTTATTTTTTCTCATAGAAAATACCTATTCATAATCTCCTATATTTTCACTGTACTTTGGTCTTTTTATTGCTTTATAACTCTTCTACTATTATAGATATTAACCCCATGTCTGTTCCACGTGATCCAAATATGCTCTCCCCAGTCTGCGATTTGTATCTTAAATTTGCACATGCTGCCTTTACAGTATATACTAGTGAATGAGAGGGGTCTTCCCAGAGAAAATAATTTTTGCATTGTATTCTGAAGTACTAATAGGAGTTAGCTAGGTAAAGAGGTAGAAGAGCAAGGTTAAAGAGCATTCAGTAAAGAGAAAAACATGTAATGGCATGGGAAAAGAAAAGTGGAATCTATAGGAAACAAAGGTAGGTCCTTTTGGGAGCTAAGGCTATACACTTTGGATTAAATCAGGAAATGAGTCAGAGACATATGAAAGGAGTCAGATCATACAGACTCTAGTGCACTAAGCATTCACCCATGGTTACTGTTATTGCTTAGTAAATATCCACCCTTCTCTACCCATCCTCCATGGGAAGAAATTGATTCTGCACTCATCATACTGGAGCTTAATCATGACTTGTTTTGGTCAACACGATGTGAATGAATGTGACACAGTGGTTTAATTTAATTTATTTTTAAAGATTTTATTTATTTATTTGAGAGAGAGAGAGAGAGAAACAGAGAGAGAAGGAGAGCATGAATTGGGGGAGAAGCAGAGGGAAAGAGAGGGACAAGCAGACTCTGAACTGGGCTTGGAGCCTGAGGTAGGGCTCATCCCAGGACCCCGAGATCATGACCTAAGCCAAAATCAAAAGCTGAACACTCAACTGACCAAGCCACCCAGGCACCCCCAAACAGAGGTTTTAAATGTGCTTGCAAGGTCTGGCTTGGCCTTTTAAATTTTGGCACCCCACTAAGACATCATGCCTGAACACATGGAGCAGGCCTGGACCCAATTCACAACCTAGAGCCAAGTCATAACCAAGCAAAAAATAAGTTCTCTTGTTATAATATAGCACTGAGAGATTAGGGTTGTTTGTTACACACCATTAGTGCAGCAAGAGCTGACTAACACATCAATATATGAGATAAATTTGACTAGCCCAGCTTAGATTGCCTTTAGGAGTAAAACAGCCATTGCCACCTAAAACATATCTTTTAACACAAATCCCTCACACTTGCTAAGGCATAATTATAACTAGGGCATTGCCTTTACTCTGAAGACACAAAGATAGAGAACATGCGGTCTCTGTGGAGGAGTTCATCTATCTAATGCACTATCTATGCTGTGACTATTTACATTTAAACTAATTAAAAATAAATAAAATTTAAAATTTGATTTCTCAGTAACACTAGTCACATTTAAAGTACTCACACATAGCTAGCACCTACCTCACTGTACAGTCCAATATGTTCTACTGGCCAGCACTGAGGAACTTAATTAGATAAATTACAATATAAAGTGTTAAGTGCTATAATAAAGAAATGAAGAAATACACACAAACACATGAAGGCTAAACAACATGCTACTAAACCACCAATAGATCAACAAAGAAATCAAAGAGGAAATCAAAAAATACCTGGAGACAAAAATGGAAACACAGCAGTTCAAAATATTTGGGACATGGCAACAGCAGCTAAAAGGTGACTTTACAAAGATATGGGCCTGCCTCAAGAAACAAGTCTCAAACAATCTAATCTTAAATCTAAAGGAACTAAAAAAAGAAAACAAAGCCCAAAGTCAGTGGAAGGAAAGAAATAATAAAGGGCAAAGCAGAAATAAATGAAATGGGCTAAAAAACAATAGATCAATGAAATTAAGAGCTGGTTCTCTAAAAAGATATAAAATTGACAAACCTTTAGCAAGACTCGTCAAAAAAAGGGGGGGTGCACCTAAATGGCTCAGTCAGTTAAGAATCTGACTTGTGATTTCGGCTCAGGTCATGATCTCATGGGTAGAATTAAAGTAAAGCATAGGGAATATAGTCAATAATACTGTAATAACGTTGTATGGTGACAGATGGTAACTACACTTATCGAAGTGAGCATCGTGTAATATACAGAATTGTCGAAACATTATGGTGTATACCTGAAACTAGTATAACACTGCATGTCAAGGACACTTCAATTTAAGAAAAAAGAAAGAAAAAAAACAGAGATGAAGAATTAACTAACTTCTTGATACACTGTGTTCTCTTCTATCCATGATCTCCCACTCTCCTAGTTTTCCAACTAGTTCAGCAGCTACTTCTTCTTAGTTCCCTTTGCTGATTCTTATTCCTGCTGCTCTGCCAGATCTCTACATCTTGAAGTGCCCTGAGACTTTACTTTTTTCTGAATACAATCTCTCCTCAGGGGAGTCAATCCAGTCCCGAGGCTCAGAATATCATCAATATATTGATAACCCTCAACTTTGTATCTCCACCCCAGACCTTTCCCCAGAGCTCCAAGCTCAATTGCCTACACTAGAATGTTAATCTCAAAATTAATGTATCTGAATCATAACTTTTTTTTTAACCAAAACCCATTTATTTCCCCCCACCTCACTTTCTCAACTTAGGAAATAATACCGAGTTATTCAGCCAGACACCTAAGAGTCAGCCTTGAATCTTTCCTTTCCTTTAGTAAGTCATGATTTTTCCACCTCTAAAAATACATCTCAAAGCCATCATCTCTCTCCATATCAACCATCATCAGCTTATTCCAAATCAACATCATCTGACACAAGTTACTGTACTAGTCTTTCCTCCACTGGTCTACACCATTACTCTCCCACCAGTCATTATTCTCAGTGGCCATAGTGATTTTTTTAAGAAAAATCTTTTTTGTTACAACAAAAAAAGATTCTCCCTCTCCCTCTCTGCCCCTTCCCCCTCAAAAAATAAATAAGTAAATCAATAAATTCTGCCACAGAAATTAAAAAAAAAAAAACCTCTGTATCAGATCATCTCTCTTTCCTGCTTAACATCTCCAGTGGCACCTGTTTGTACTTCAGATAAAATTGTACTTCAAATCCAAATTCTACCAGAATTCATAATTTGGCCCATGTCTTATTATGTCTCCAAACTCATGTTCTACCACTTCTCCTCCTTACCTGCCATCCTCTAGCCACACTAGACTTCTTTCTGAAACTC